AAGCCCACTATTCGTTGGTAAAAGAGTAGCCCAAGAGTTGGCGGTGGGTGGTGATGACTAGCTGCTTTCCCTCTTGTCTTACACTGCTAAATTAGGGACGGCTAACGCAGATAGACCCTCGTGTAGCTTTGCGCGAAATTCAAAACAAACAAAATAATAATAACAGTAAATATCATATTCTTGACTGTATCAACGAATCTTTTCAGACTTCTTTACCTGGTTGCATCAGTTCAACACAATATCCAAAGAAATTTCGAATCCGTTACCCTTTGCCACCACAGTTGCCAGACTGAATTAATATAAGTTAGCTCATTGAAATACTTTTTTTTTTAAGTTTTCAATACTTATATTAAAATTATTAGTCATAATCAATTTTACTGCTAGGGGGCGCTAGTAGTAAGGCGTGAGTAGCCAATCATTTTTAGAACTTTTTGACTCTCGTGTGTATGGGAATGTAATACCTGAAATGAACATAATAATTACGTTAGATTGTCTCAGTTTGCAATATAAAACAAAACAAAGAACACTAGCAAGAAATAACTGTATTTCTAGTCCCATTCAATAAAGTTTTCTTGAGCTACAACAACAACCATGACGTATTTGCGCGGTGGACCAGAGATATCAAAACTAATCGTGAAGCCGTGATACGATTCGTGTTTGTTTGTAATTAAGCACAAAGCTACGCAATGGGCTATCTGTGCTCTGCCCACCACGGGTATCGAAACCCGGATTCTAGGGTTGTAAGTCCGCAGACATACCGCCGTGCCACTGGGGGGGGGGGCGATACGGTTGTATCGACACATCGTCCGATACAATACTATTTACGTATCTTCGCGAAATTTGGCAAGCTTTCGGTAAACATTACAAGTCTTGTGTACAGAACAAAATCTGAATTTCTAATAAAGTATTTTTTGCTAAAAATTAATGATTCAATAAAGGAAGATGAGTGTTGAGTACTACATGTTGTCTTCATTTCTTTTATCAAAAACACTACATGCAAAGTAACATAACAAAATAGATAGACAGATATCAACTGTTTATTATTTTACTTCT